ACGTGATTCGCTATGTATATCAAGCCAAAATGGGCCTTTACCCCATAAACACATTAAGATTCTAGACACATAAAACAAGTAAAACATTTATATTTGGGGCATATACAACAATATAATATTAAGATTCTGTATATATAGAACAAGTAAAACATTTAGATTCGGGGCATCTAGAAAACTAAAACATTTAGATTCTAGACACCTAGAGCAAGTAAAACATTTAAATTCTGGACATTTAGAGCAAGTAAAACATTTATATTTGGGCCATCTAGAACAATATAACATTAAGGTTCTGTACATATAGAACAAGTAAAACATTTAGATTCGGGGCATCTAGAAAACTAAAACATTTAGATTCTAGACACCTAGAACATGTAAAACATTTAGATTCTGGACATTTAGAGCAAGTAAAATTATTTCTTAAGCTAGAGCTAGAAAGACGATTCTAGAATTGAAGGCAACTTTAAAGTCGTTAGGTTTACGTCTCTAGCGTTACGAGAAGGTAGACAATTCATACGTTAACATGGAGAACATGGGCGCCGTCGTATCAAGTTTCTTATCACCCACTTGAATAAGGCTGAAATGTTAACAAATAAACTAGGATATACTTAAGGAATCTATGTTATTCGGTCCCGAACTTAAGAACTAACCATCAAGTTCCAGCATGCTTGATTACTAGTGAGTATACAGCTAGGATGGTGCAGTGATTACCACAACACTTCCTGATACATCTCAGAATATATACAGTGGTAACCTGTCATTCCGACTGTACAATCAACGTATAATATACAACACAACGATAAGAAAAAACAGGTGGAGCAAATTTAAACAAAAAAGAAACTGTTACGTCTGCTGAAAATATTTAAGCAAGGAGACTTATCATACTGTCAATGGAACGTAACAGAAATAAAACCTGGTACCTGTAGGGAGAAATAAAGTCGAATGTTTGTGGTTACGATTTATCTATTAGCAGAGAAATATTAGGTAGAGTTGAGAACATTTATTGCCATGTTAACGAACATATTAAACAAACTGACGGAAGACGGATACGAAGAGATCGGTGAAGAACAATTCTGTAGCTTTTTTTAAAAAGTTCAGTACCAACTGAATACTTAAAACATGACGTCATGGTGTTTAGTACCATAATAAAAACTTTCAACAGAACATTTCATGATCATTGTTAGTTCCAGTTGTCTAGAATCTAAATGTTTTACTTGCTCTAAATGTCTAGAATCTAAATGTTTTACTTGTTCTATATATATAGAATCTTAATGTTATATTGTTCTATATGCCCCAAATACAAATGTTTTACTTTTTTTATGTGTTCGAAATGTTTTACTTGTTTTATGTGTCTAGAATCTTAATGTGTTTATAGTTCCAGTTGTCTAGAATCTTAATGTGTTTATAGTTCCAGTTGTCT